TTTGATATTTTTATATCAACGTTATGAAGATTCGATGAGTTTTAATACTAAATGATCTTATGACTCACTTTTTCACAAGAATCTTTCAAAGAATTTTGAAATTTTCGACTCAAAATTAATTTTTCAGTCGATTTATCAGTTGGACCCATGTTCGAAAAATTTGGAAACATACGGAAAATTGAGAATACAACAAAGAGAACTTGTGTTTCTCCTTCATTCTCTTTATCATGATGTTTGTATCTTATTGCTCATTGTTAATTCTGTGTGGGTGGAGAAATGGGTCATAAATCTAAATCGAAGAATTGGTGTTTCCTAAATCTCGAAAAAAAAAATTTTTTTAAATAAACTTTGTATTTTCAAGAAGCATCATAAAACATGGATAAAATATAAGGAAAAGCAAGAAAGTGAACTAGAAAAAAACTCGTAGTAAGATTTAGAATCGCTGTTGTTTCAAGATGTGGCTGCAGAGAAAAGGTGTACCCGAAAAAAATGATTGGAGAGGAATGATAGAGAGAGGGATCACAGTGTTAAAACTATCTTTAGGGTCAAATGAAAGGCGATAAAAAATTAAACTGAAATAATATTAAAGTATGAAAGCACTTGATTCGTTCCAGAGTAAACCAAATCGACGATCTGATCAACTACAGTAGCGTTTTGTTCCGATGAAGAAGCAGTTTTGATGGCTCCTTCTGTCAATTGAAATTCGTTTGCAGTTGCGAAAGCAAGACCTTGTCCCCATGAGACTTCCATTCCTTTGATCTTCTTTGCTAACTGAAAAGATAATTTTGAATTTAAAAAAAGAAAGAAAAAAGAAAACATTAACTTACCACAATAGGTTGATTGTCTTCAAATTGATATCCATCTCTCAAAAGCGAATAAATATATGTCAAATCCAGACATTGCCATGGCATCCAGTGACTTCCATCGTTGATTTCTAATTTTCCTCTCTGACACGCAGTCTTCGCCGCCTCCTTAAACTGTCTCAACTCAATCTGCCCACCATCGTTTCCTTTCACAAGTCCACTATTGAGACCTCGGTCGAAAAAGTATGAAAAAAGATAGACAGGCGCTCCTTTCAGCTCTCTCAAATGCATGATTTCGCTAGATTCCACAAATCGTTTGGTGACATCGTAGCAAGTATCGTATGAATAAGACGATGATCCGTTGATATTCCAGAACTTCAAAGCGTATTCCCATTCTGTCAATTGGAATCCTTCCGGCATGCAACTTGTGATCAGTTGATGTGTTGTTTCGATGTCATTTTCGGTCTCCAATTGAAGAATGTTCAATCGAGCGGCAATCAAACCGTTTCCGAGAAAACTGTGGGTGAACAGTCGGATGTGATGTCCAAAAAAGTCGATATCCCGTTCATATCCGACATGTTCTGAGAAGACAGCCTCGTTGTTTGGCCAGTACGTGAGCTGAGTCGATCCACCGCCCAAATCAAAAGCGGCGACGGAACGGTGAGCCGCTGGTTTGTTACCGATCGTTGGCTCATCTGAAAAGCAAAGGAAATTTATAAAGTTCTTCTTTGAACGCAATTGAGTTACAGTACCAGTCAATAAGATATATGCAAAACACATTTTAAGTCATTTTCAGGAGTCTGAAGCTCGGCTGCCAAGTTTCCGACCAATTTTTAATTTTTGGAGGGTGTGAAACAGACCTAGATTGAAAACTTGGAATTTTAAGAATCTCTCGAAAATTCCCACTTTTCTAGCTATTTGCCGATTTCT